TGGTGAGTCCAAAGAAAGACCCAGTGCATTGTCTCTCGCAGAGATTCTTCAAGGATCTTTTGCTAGGATATCTGAAGATCAGCACAGGATCCAATAAGATAAGATGTCCCAGATGGGTATCTTTCAATATCTTCCCTGCTCCCAGCATCTGGGTCTGCTGTTTCTCCTTCATTCGTTTCCATGACCATTGGTGCCATTTCCTTCTTTTTTTGTGTGTGTGTCTTCATAGCTTCCCCATCTTTATTCTGTCTTTGTCCTGTTGTTGTCTTTGAGACTGGAAGATGCAGCAGAGCTTCTTGCCCAGGCCAGCACTTAGACAAAAAAGTATCCAGTCTTTTCCACGGAATGACTGGCAGTGCTCGTACCGGCAACGTGATGCAGTGCAAGTGGCCTTCCAGAGCCTGCATCTGCTTATGTGCTGCTGCTGGTGATTGTCACTGTGGAGAATTTATATGGTGACATAAGAATGGATCATGTGGCAGTTGCAACCTTTTCTCCAGACAGGACTCTGGCTAGGGCAGAGGCTGAGAACAGCTGATACGGCAGTCTGTGAGTGTGTTTAATTTTTTTTTTTTAAATGTGCTGCTTGATCTGTGTAATATTAATTTTTTATGTTGCTCTTCTCTAGTTGGACAAGGTTGTGGGTTAATTCATTAAAAAACTTTTGAACTATCAGAGTGAGTAACTTCATGGGTGCGGTACATACATTTGGACCAAAAGCAACTAGAGAGGAGACAATCAGCAAATCAGTCTGGACTCTTTCTTAAAATGGAAAAGCTAGTGACAGGCAGCGTTTGTCCCATCAGTAGCAATTCTATAGTCCATCTCTAATCAGTATGACTAGCCACAAGCTTTAAAGCAGGGCAGAGAACTTGATATGCTTTCCAATCCCGGTCCTGTTTACTTTGACTAGGGGAACTGATGATAAGGGATGGTCATACAAGAGCAATCAAGCAGAAGCAGTTAAGAGAGAGATGGGGGCTGAAGAGTTAACTACAGTGAAGAGGATGTAAATGTCTGAGGCAGGTGCAAGGTGGGTGAGACATTGTACCTGGCAGCTGCGGTGTTAACTCTGCCACCATGAAGGCGATAATTACATTTCACAAAAAAGGAAATTATCAGGACCTTGTTGAAATTATTGCCAAATCTATGAAGTGAGTTGTCTCAAAGAGTTGGTTTCTGTGCTAGGTTTAAGCAGCCTAGGAGTATTTCTGCTTGCCTCTCCTTTTCCAGAAAATTCTCTCTAAAAGTAACATAAGAACTGCTCAAGAAGAAACACATGTAAGGAAATTATGAGTAGTACTGAGCCAATTTGGGGCCCTGTGTAAGTATTCACATTTTCCTTAGTGGTAGACAGATTTCTAAATCCTGCCTGCTTTGTATTATAACAGGAGTTTAGAGGAGTGGAAAAATTAAGCTTTTTTTGAGCCCAGAACATCTTGAAGGAGCATCTGCTCCCATGTAGGCCCTCCTCTCCCTCTTGATGGAACAATAAGGCCCTGCTTGGACTACTGTCACAGGTAGATGGAAAACTGGCATTCACCACTTTCAGGGCCTTCTTAGTAGCAATCCCAGCACTGTGGAATTCCCACCCTCTAGAGCAGTGGTCATGGGTCAGGAAGGGGTTTGTCAACTGAGCAAGATCCGGACATTTTGAAGTGGACACTGGTTGTTTCCTGTGATGTTGAAAGAGGCAGGATCCAAGCTTGATAGGCAGACAATAAATACAGGTGCAGCTGAAAAATATATTGCAAGAGGGCACAATCTGTCATACACCTATGTAATGGTAGCATCCCATAACAAATCCTGAGTTTAATCGCATCATTCCTCTCTCATGTGGTGTGCAGAATGAAACTGCAACATGTACTTCGAGACAGACACAGGGAGGATATAGAGTGAAAAGCCACATTTGTGAATATGCAGGAAAGTACGTTAACTTAATCTGTATTAACCAAGGCATTAACTGTAATCCAGACTGAGTAGTGAGGATTTAAAATTTTCCTATGTGAGAACTCCTAATACAAATCAAACAGGTTTGATCTTAATTCAGAAAAGGCATTTTAAGTCCTTGTTAAACAGTGTCCATAAATGTTTTTTGTATTGGGACACTGAAATTAATGGAACGTGGATACATCCATTATTCAGATCAACTAGTGCTAAAGTTGTTCCACTCTCATTCAGCTATTCTACAGTCATTCATTAAACTGATCTCTCTAGCTGGGCCCAAGCAATATCTTTTCAGAGACTTGGATGTCGTTGTATTAGAGCTGTCAATGCACATTCATTGTGTGTATGTCCTACTCTGATTTTTGGCAGACTGACATGTTGGGTTTTTATGGCGCTTCAAGCGGCACCTTGGAAAGTGGAAAGAAATCCCCGGAAGGCTGGCCAACGTGGCTGTATGCATTTTTTGTGTGACTGTCACTATATCTATTGGCTAGTGCTTGCAACGCATAGCATGTGTTTTCTGCCCTTCACCGGTACTCTAGCACATTTGGAACTTTGAAAGTTTAAAAATTAAATAATTGTTAGCAGTAGTGCTTCAGGTGGGTCGTTATTTCAAAGAGGGGAGGGGTGTGTTTATTTTTGGGGTGAAATGAGTAGCCCAGAAATGGCTTGCAATGTGGTCTGGTCAATTTCATATTTCCTTTGGATTCTCAGGAAGTGGCTTTAGTTAAGAAAAGCTCTTCTACTCCCATTACATTTCTACAATTACCAAGCAATCGATGACGACTCAGGACTAGTGCCATAGTAGTGGAAGGAAGGAAACTTCCCCATAGCTTCACAAGAGTAGTTGTCCATGAAGAGCCATTCATTGCACATCCACTATGTGCTCATTTCTTTTATTGAAGGGGGTAAGATAAAAATGATCTATTTGCAGGTCTGCAGAGTGATGAGGGGGAGCCCTCACTGCCAAAGTAATATCCGTAACCTGGCAAACACGTTGTCATGTGAGACATCCCCATACAGTGCTTAACTTTCTTAGGATCCTAAAGAATTAACACAGTGTAAAGTCAAACCATTGATCTGTGTACCTCAGTGTTGTCTGTTCTGATGGCAGTGGCTCTGCAGGGCTTAAGATAGAACCAAGAAGTTTGGGATTGAATGTGGGGGTTTTCTGCACAAAAAAGGCAGAGCTTGATGAATCACGGGCTCCAGGTCACCATGGTGCCTAGAAATTTCACCGTGGCACCTAGCATTTTCAGCACTGATTTTATTGTAGTGTATTTCAGTGATTCTCAGTAGGAGTGTGAAGCTTCTGTATCACGTGGACCTCAGAATGGTTTACTGTATGTCATAAAAATGCATGCCCATGAAGTTCTTGTCATTGCTTGTTTATAAGTTAGCCTTACATCTTTCAGTGGTGGTAGATGAACTCATCTCTTAACCAGTTGGCTTCTGTAGTGCCTCCTGTATTCAGTTAAAGCAGTAATGACATTTTGAGAAACCGAGGAGAAGTTAGGTTAGGGTTAGAGGTTTGCTTCGTGTCGTAGTGATAAGAACAAGGGTTTCTCCCATTTTTATTTATATAGTATGACAGTTATAGCTTTAATACGAGTATGCAAATCTATGAAGAGGTTAGAATTAGGTTTTGTGATCGGAATAACTAGAAAATATGGTCATTAAAATAGAAGACTCTGAAGGCTGAAAAATTAGTCTGGGGAGTTTTGGGCAGCTGGAGAAAATTGATCAATACCACTGAGCCATGAGCCTTTCCCCTGTTCATAGGGTAGAAGAACTAGACCTTCAGGTGCCTTCTTCAGTGTACTGTGCAGAGTGAGTGGAATGTCAGAGGCCATGGCTAGCTTCTCCCGACCAATCAGGAGTTGAAGGTCAGGCCATGCATAATTGGAAAGGTCACCTGGTGATCCCTAGGGCCCTTGCTGTACCAAAAATGTAGTCAGTAATAATCTTTCCTTCAACAGGTACTCCCATTAGAACAGCTGTATTCTTTTTCTTGCTTTCTTGCAGGCCATAAATCTGAATACAATGGCTGTATTTCTAAACGATTCTGCTTTGATTGTGCTGAAAGCCATTTGGCGTTTAATCTGTGTTCTTTACGGTTTTCATCCACTGACTTTTATTATTATTAGTATCTGTGTGAAGCGATGGTTCACTCTTATTACCCTCTGTGCTTCCCTGGGATCGGAGAATAGACTGCAAAGTAAAACCCATCAGGCTTCTGGGCATAATTAATTACTTATTTCATAAGAGGCCCTTCTCTTGAAAAACAGGCTGAAAAGTTCAGACGCTGAAGAAGCACTAATATTTTATTACGGACTCTCCGCACTTCAGGCACTGTTGCTGCTTTGGATGAGCCAGAAATACTTCGGAGGGGCCATGGCTCAGTAGCAGAACATCTGCTTGGTGTACTAAAGGTCCCAGGTTCAATCCCCAGGATCTCCCATTAAGGATCAAGTCATAGGTGATGTGAAAGACCTCTGCCTGAGACCCCGGAGAGCCAGCGCTGATCAGAGCAATGCTGACTTTGATGGCTCAATGGTCATATTCAGTATAAGGCAACTCCATGTGTTCAATGTATGTACTGTTGAGGTTCTCGTATTTCCCATTATTACCACATAGAGAACTCTTTTTGCACCAGAAACACCAACACCAACATGCAGGCCCGTAGCTACCGTGGGGCTATTCGGGGCTCTGCCCCCTTTCTTAAAGGGACAGCCCTACAAGATTTCCCTTGAAAACCTTTTTTTAGACATTTCTTGTGCCCACTCAGTACATGTTTGCTGCCATGTCTGTGCTGTGTGCTCTCCTTCTTCTGCTGCCAGGCTTGGAAGGGGAGGAGCGCTCTATTGCCTCGTTGCTACTGCCCTTTATGCCACCCACCCCAGGAACAAGAGGGTGCCAGGCAGCTTCACTGCCGCTATGGCCAAGCCGCTGGGTGGTTGGGGAGGGAAACCATGGAAGCGGC